CGCGAGCCGGTGACCCTGCCGTCGTGTAACGCGCTCCCACGCTCGGGGCCGGCGGGCTGGCTGGCATGGGTGTCGTTTAGTCCCCTGTGGCCGCCTGTGGCTGCAGGGCGCTCCAGGCTCCGGCATGCCTGGACCTGCAAACCGTGGGCGGGACTGGACTGGGCGAGGGAACCTGGCGCGTACATACCTGCAGGGGCCTGCGGGGCCTGCAGGCTCACGCCGCACGCCGGCCCGGCCCTGTCCGGGCACAGGGCCACAACCGGCTCTCCCTTATTACTGGATATGTAGTTTTAATTTTAATGAAGAGATTCTAAGCCGGTGGTCCGATTGAGAAAGGTTTCAGGGCGTGGCGCAGGGGCGCACAGCAAGGGCAGGGATGGGCAGCGGGCAGGGCAGGCAGGCAGGCAGGCAGGCAAGGCTGGCAGGCAGGGTCAGCTACACATTATACATGCCTACATACCGTACTGTTTTGACAACGAGTCGCCTGCACACGTGAACAATGTAGTATACCTCCCCAGTCATTGTCGCGCCGATTCATTCGCCCGGACAGCCAGTCCTGAGAGCAGCGCGTTGCCGTGTCATTCGCTCGCCGATGTCAGGGCTGTCGGGGCCGTCTCTGCCTGGCGGGGGGAGGAGCAGGGGGCGGCGCGGCGGCGGCATACTTCAGCGATGCGTGTGCAACTTCACTTTCTGACATGCAAAGCGAATCTCAGGCATTATATACGTGGCGGACGAGACAGGGGCGGCAGCAGCCGCTTAGCTCGTAGAAAAGTCAGCTTAGCGAGCAGCAGTCAGCAGATGGCCGTATGTGGGGGGAGATGATTTCCCCTCAGCACCAAGTGAAGTGCTGGCTGCTGCCGAAGCCGAATTTTTCATGCCGCCACTCATTTCTAGCGGTGTGGGAGCACCCGCGCCGCGCCCCGCCGAGTGGGGGGTAAATATAGAATGATGCGGACCTGGGGCGCCCCTTCGGTAGTGCAGCTGGAAAAATTCCCTCATTGGACCACTGCCACACACGGAAGGAGGCGGGGTGCACGCTCCACTGACGCCGTAGTCATCACTGTATATACTTTGCTCCGCAGAAAGCTACACCTAGATTACAGCCTTCTGCTCTACTGCACGCGGTGTGACGCTCCGGAAGCCGCACAACATCGGAAGGTCAATGGCAGCGCTAACTGTGCGGCAAATATTTGCCGGCGCGACGTGGAGGCTTCTAAACCAAGCGGTCCTCGAGAGAGAGGGCTGGTGCCGTCCTGTCGCTGTCCCCCAGCCCGGCCCCACAAAGCCGGTGTCTCAAGTGCCGCTCGTGGTCAACTCTGTGGACCGACCTTCTTGTTTGTTGCGTGAGGCTCCGCTCAGAAGGCCGGCCAGACTCATGGACAGGTTGACGGACGGACGGAGAAAGATCCCGAGGCGTCGCAGCACTAACGAGAGACCGCACGGCACGACCAATAAAAAGAGAGGAGCCACACATCGGGGACCAGATCCCCATTCGGGGCTCCCAGGGGCTTCCTCGGGCGAGGCCCCGAAATGGGTCAGACTTCGTGGAATAACACTAACCAGACCAGAGGTGCTGCTCCGGGCTGGGGGCGGGCCCCCGCTCTGCAGGCCCCAGCCGGGGCACCAGCGCCCCGGCCGTCCCCGCCCCGCCGCAGGAGGGCCCGGAGGGTGCTGGCCTGGTTGCCGCGGGCGTGTGAATGCGACCCCTCGGCGCCAACAGCAGGGCCAGGGCCAGGGCCAGACCGATCCTGGCCAACCTCTCTGTGGCGGCCACACCGCCACACCATACCGCCCGCGCGTGCTTTCGGAATATAAAAGGGCTGTTTTGAAAAATTTCCATACAGGAAGCCTTACTCTCTCCGTAGCAAGCCCCCCGCCTCTGCACGGTACAAATCTGTGGTTGCAATGAGGCCGCCTCGTCTAGGACGTGGGCTGCGGATGCAGGTGTTGGCGAGAACTGTTCGAGGTGTCGCGGTCTTTGCGCCGCGCCTTTTCCTGTGCAGATTAGAGGGAAGTTCGCCAAGTACGAGCGCCGTATCGTATCGCACACACGCCGTGCCGTACACGAGCGCGGCCCACCTCATCTTCGTTTCCCTTTCGGGGACCGTTCGTTTGGCGAGCGCAAGAAGAAGAAGGCGGGTGTTGGTCGTACATATCTGGTCCATCGCACCGCACTGCAGTATAGTACCCTACACTGCAGCAGTTGCTGCTGCGGCCATCGGCGACCTCGTCCCGAAATGGCGCATCGTCGTGTGCGAATCGTCGCCGGCTAACGGTAACGGCAACGCACTGGCCGGACCATACGGCCGATACAGATCGGGAGCGTGGAGAGGGAGCATTCGTGTTCAGCCCCCCCCCCTTCCCCCTAGCCCGGCGGGGACGTCTCCATCTCGGAGGACAAGGTCGAGACGGGCGCTGTCCGAAAAGATTCCAATCTCGATATGCACGGGGTGCGGGGTTGATTGAAATTCCCTGATGTCGCCCAAATACAGTTCAGTCGTCGCGCTGCTCCCCGGCTGTGCAGCCGCGGCCTCACCTGGTCCACCTGGAGCTGCTCCTCTATGGACGGCCCCTCCTCCCGGTCCCTCCCTTCGCTGCGCACGCAACACGCCGCGCTGTGAGGGCGACCCCCACCCACCCCCTCCTCACCCTCCCCGCGCGTGCCCGTGGCTCGGTGTCGCGTCTCATGTCTGCTCCACATCTCACAGACTCCCTCCCTCTCGCGATTAAAATTAGGGGTTGTGGTTTCGTCAGGACTGCGACGGCCGCGGTGCTGCGACGACGTTTGCGCCAGCACTTCCACCACGGCCGCCCGAACGGAAATGACTTTCGGCAGGGTCGGGATTAGAACGATGTGGCTTGATCGGCACGGGTCGCTTAAACGGGAGTGTTTAAATCAAATATTCTAAATTAATGCAGACCATGTGTCTGAAGCCGTGCCTTTTCCGGGTATATACTGTACCGAACGCATGCGTGCGGACGGGTTGCATACTCGCACGGGGCTGTGGTGAGAGTCGGTATGAGACAAGCCCGCCTGCACGCCTGCATGTCTAGCGCGCAACCAGGAAAAATTGAGTCTTCGAGCACCCACCCTGTAGATCGGACAAAAAGTTTTATTTGTTTGAAAAACTTCGTTGTATTGTAAAATGTCGTATGGTCATTTTCCGCTCGAGATGCTCTCCCAATTCGCCATTTGCAAGCCCGGTGGCGTGGAAGGCCATCTCTCTCTCTTTTTTGCACATTATTATTCTTTCCCGTTGCCTCATCGATTGTGCGGAGTCAATTAGGGCCAACACTGCGGGCCCTCGAGGAGGGGGGACGAGAAAAGGGGGGGGGGGAGTCCAGGTAGAGGCATTCGCTCGGGCATTCGTCCTTTTGTGCTCCAAAAGCCCGCGCGGCCGTCCGTCGGCCGCCGTCCCCTCGCAAAAATATATGACGATGACCCCGCGCCTGGCCTGGTGGTGGGTCAGGCATCCGGCCGGCCAAGTCGTTGAGAAATCTCCGAAGAACCCTCGGGCCGGCGGCACGGCACAGGAGGAGCGGCCAAAGCCAATAAAACCGTTCGAAGCGACCGCCGCAGTGCTGCGTTGCATCTGCCCGCGAGACCCGCCGGGCCCGGCCAAAACAAACCAGAGGGGGTGCGATACAGAGGGAAGCAATTGAATGGCCGACGAGAGGTGCGACAAAGGGAGGAAGAGGGGGGCCATAACTTGATATTTCTGAAGGGGGTACATAACGGACGGGGAGAAAAAATAAGACTGAAAATCTGCTTATCAAATCTGGAACGTTAATCGACAATATCGACAACGGCAACCTTTATCAAGACGGGATACTTTCACCTTCGGGTACAGGGACTGTCTATTAGATAAATTCACCCAACAAAAGACAAAATGATGCTAGAATCACCATTCAAATTTTGCCGAATTCGTAATTTCTGGC